CCATTTCCCCCTATTCCCCTTTTAAAATGATAATGAATAAATTATAAAGATTGAATAAGAACAAATAAAATTCAATATTTTTCCAAAAATAACGTATCTAGGCAATTTTAACGAATATTTCCTATAAAATTAGGACGATGTGTATGCCCTGCTCTAACTGAAGGTGAGAGATGTGAACGCTGTAAACAAGGAACCTGGAACTATCATCCAAATAAGGTAAGATAAGAAATTTTTAACTACATATATAAATATATATGAAGAAACGAGGATATATTTACACATAATGATCATACTCTAGTCTAAGCCTCTTTCATACAATCCTCTATTCTCCAACCCACTATCCCCTAATCCTCTATCCTTCGTCTCTCTATCCTCCAATTCTCCTTTCTCCAACCCACTATTCGCGAATCCTCTATCCTCCAATTCTCCTTCCTCTATCCCACGATCCTCTAATCCTCTTTCCTCCGCCTCTCTATCCTCCAATTCTCCTTTCTCCGACCCACGATCCTCTATCTGAATGTCTAGGGGTGCACCCGTTGCAAATGTCACCAGGAAGGCTCAGTGTATGGGCAATGTGATCAGATTACTGGCAAATGCAGGTATAACATTTTTAAAAATTTAAGAAATTGAGTCTTTGCCGCAAACTCAAATTTTCTAATCCCTATATCTTTGCAACCTTATAGTGTAAACGTTTGATATTTCAAACTTAGATTATAAGACCTATCAGGGTTCATAGTTTGAAATATCTAAGGTCTATGACATTTGGTTGCAAAGATACAAAGATTAGAAAATCAGAGTTTATGGCAAAGACTCAATACCTTTGTTTGAGGAATTGAAGTTTTAAAAAGATATTGAAATGGACTAATAGAGATTTATTGAAATGTTTGGAAGGGTTAGGAGGAAATATATTTAGATGTTTGGAAGGAATTGAAGGGGATATATTTAGATGCTTGGAAGGATTAGAAGGAGATATATTTAGATGTATGGAAGGATTTGAAGGGAATACATTTAGATGTTTGGAAATATTTGAAGGAGATGTATTCAGAGTTTGGAAAGCTTTGAAGGGGATACATTTAGATGTTTGGAAGGATTTGAAGGAGATAACTGTGACCGGTGTGCTGCAGGGTTCTATAGGTTCCCCAACTGTCGAGCTTGTAACTGTATTGTTCCTGGTACTGACCCTGAAGTTTGTAGGTAAGAATTTACCCTGTTCAAAGATGGGATTTAGTTTACTTTTTTTTAAAGATTCAAGGTTTCGCTTAAACTCTAAAATATTAACTTATAAAAATGTTGGTTGATGTTACTTGTGGAGCCTCTTTGTTTCTAAACATTTAATGTGTTTAGTTCGAGATGATCCGCAAGAATCTAATTTGTTTGTCATCCTTTTCTCCGATCGCTGACAATGTAGGAGCAATCTTTTGGTGGGAAATGTGATCGGGTTTTTTTGTAAACAAATGCTTTTTCAAATGATCTTGCTTTTTAATCAATTAATCAACTTAAGAAAAATCTAGTTTTCAGCCTCCTTTTCCCAGAGAACTATGACTATCGAACACAATTTCAGCTATTAAGCTGTTTCATTTATACTTTTTTGTCGGCATATATGTTTTAAACGAAGTTCGTAAAAAAAACTGCGTAAATTTAAAGCTTGTTGAACTATTGAGGAACACGTAATTGAATTCAAATAGAAGAATTACCGAATGCATCTCGACCTGGTTAATCTGGGGTGCTCTCATTTTTATATTCCTCCTGGTGTTCGATCAATGAGAGTTTTGTCTTTGATTGCACGAAAAATTATCCGGCTTCTGATAGGCTGTTCTGTTTCTGCAGTCGACACTCTAATTGGTTGCATTTTACAGACTTTTCTTAATATTAATGTAAGATCTACAGATTAATAAGAAGAGCATTGATCTCGATATCTACAATTCTATAAAAGTGTTTAGCTCAGGTTGCAAAAATTATCAGGATAAATAAATGGAGTTTGAGATAAGTGCTAAGTTCCTGTGAACTTTGAAGTTTTACTTAGATAATGATAAAGGAATTCAGTCTTTGCCAAAAACCCAAATTTTCTAATCCTAAAATCTTTGATATTTCAAACTATTTTATCTGACAGAATACACAGTTTGAAAAAACAAGGTCTACAATATTAGGTTGCAAAGATATAAAGATAAGACAATCAGAGTTTGTGAAAAGATTTTTTTACAATTATTATTATTTTAGTTCCGGTGTGTGCCAATGTGATGAGAGTGGGGTGTGTCCCTGTAAATCAACGGTTGTTGGAAAAAAATGTGCATCTTGTGCACCGGGCTTTTTTGGACTATCTGCCTTGAACCCTGAAGGGTGTACGCAATGTTTCTGCTTTGGTAGAAGTTCACAGTGTACACAAGCTCAATACTCTTGGACACAGGTAATTAAATATTAGTATTCAATTTTTTTATACTTGGGTCGTCTGGGGTCTCTTTTATAAATTTATTTTTGCATAAATAAACGTCAAACAGCTTTTTTAACTATATGAATTTATTTATTTTCAATTTTTTTATGAAACAAATTAATTGATACATGTATTTAATACAGAATCATTTTTCCAATCTTCTTGTTTCCTGGCTGTCCTGTTTTGCTCATTCAATTAGCTGCATAACGTCAAAACAGCGTATTTTGGATTTTAGGGTTACCTCACATGGCCCCGGAAGAGGTTTAGAGGCCAAAAATAATTTTAGTGATGAAGTTTATAGGCATTAGCAGTATCAATTGAATTTGAAATAACGAGAAAAGTTTAATCACATGGAGTAGTTATTTAGCCACGTTCTTAACATTTAATATTGATATTCATTAAATTTAGTCACATGTCTTGTTTTAAGCTTGTTATGCCTCGACGTCGACATCTCCGAATCAGCCGGGGTGAGAGTGATCTAGATGTAGAGGATGGTCTACTGGTGGTGCCAGGGGACGATAAAGATGTCGTCGTTGGTGTTAATCATCTTTTCAAGGTTCCCCTCTACTGGTAAGCAATGTGATATCAGCGAACTGTGAACATTTTTGTGGAACATTTTTTTCAAATTTTTTTTTAAGTAATTAAATAAATTTTTTCATTCAGGAAGTTTATAAAAAATATGTCGTCTTTTTTTAGTCAGACCAAATTAAATAAATCATATAAAAATGCCAAGACCTAAAATATGTCGATTTTTGAAGACTGTGACATAGTCAAAACCATTTTAAGTGAATTTGAATGTTAAGTTATATATAAAAAAAATATTGTATTTTGTTTTAATAATTTTTATTCAATTTTTAATTTCGTCGTAAAATGCATAAGGAGACACCTTTTATCTTAATGTGATTTGGACAATGTTCACTTTGACCTTACTGTTCCATGAGCCCAAAACCGGGTATCGTTCTGAAAACCAGTTTTAAAACTCGGGTTTCGCGAATGGGGTCAGGCTGTTTTTTTTTTGTTTTTTGTTATGAAATATCATTTCATTCAGTTTGTTTATATTCTCAATTTTTTTTCGAGTCTTAAATCAAAATCTACACAAATGTTGAGACCCCAAAAAGGAAAGTCGGGAATTTTGTCCAATGATACTCTTTTAAATTTCGGGCTTTGCTGAGCCCAAAACATAAGACAGGGTATCGTTATGAAAACCAGTTTTAAAACCTGGGTTTTACGAATAGGGTTAGGCTGTTTTGTGGATGTCAATATTTGTGTAATGAAATATTATTTTTATTTAGTTACTTCATATTCTCCATTTTTTTCGAATCTCTTAAATCAAAATCTACACAAATACTAAGACCTCAAAAAGGAAACTCTGGAGTTTCGTTCAATGATACTCATTTAAATTTCGGGCTCACCAAGTTGAATGTTGCATCTTTCTGAATTTGTATGGACACTACGTTCTTCGGTATTAGTCGTTTTTAACAATTTTCTCCTTATAGACGCAACAGACAGAAGTAAGATTAGTGGCGATCAAAAGCGCTTATTTTTCGCATCAAGCCTATACCCCCTTTCATTTTTCGCGAACACTCCCTTTAACATAAACATAAATACATGACTTTTTGTGAGCTTTGCCCCCTTTTTTATTTAAACATTTATTTTTCATGTTTCTCTAAACTTTCTGGATTTTTCTGATAGCATTGAGAGATTTACAAAAATTAACATTTTTCCTAGACAAAATTGTTCAACTTGTGCTGGACAAAGCAAAAATACGAATCAAGCTAGAAATATACAATAATACAAATCAAGCTAAAAATATACAATAATACAAATCAAGCTAGAAGTATACAACAATACAAATCAAGCTAGAAGTATACAATAATATTAATCAAGCTAGAAAAATACAATAATACAAATCAAGCTAGAAGCATACAATAATACAAATCAAGCTAGAAAAATACAATAATACAAATCAAGCTAGAAGTATACAATAATACAAATCAAGCTAGAAAAATACAATAATACAAATCAAGCTAGAAGCATACAATAATACAAATCAAGCTAGAAAAATACAATAATACAAATCAAGCTAGAAAAATACAATAATACAAATCAAGCTAGTAAAATTATGTTATCTTACATGCGTGTTAGTGTGAGGATTTTATGGCTTTTCTGTTACTATTTTCTGTTACTATTTTCTGTTACTATTTTCTGTTACTATTTTCTGTTACTATTTTCTGTTACTATTTTCTGTTACTATTTTCTGTAACTATTTTTCAAGAATCTCAGCAAATAATCTTGATTCAAAAATACCCGTGTGAATCGGGCCCCTTTGATTTGTTTATTTTTAGATTTAACGTGCAGACGAATGGAGAGAAGATATTTAGCGGAGAAATATTGGAGAATTATCCTTTAGTTTTTCTTAGAGGAAATCATAATATTAAACTTAGACACTTTCCTTCTAGAATCAGTGGTAGCGGAAGGTAACAAATTGATTTTGAAATAAAAAGTTTAAATGCTTTGAAGATGCTTNGTATCGTACATACATATTAAGGATATTAGCACTCCCGCCCCTCCCCCCCGCTCTCACAAAATTATACATTGCTCAGAATTATCTAAGCTTATTCTTTTAACCCTAAATTTAAAGTATATAATTAAAAGTATTATTTACGGCCGTGAGGAACTTTTCATTAAAAAATTATAATTTTTTTACTTTTTAACCAACTCTTTTCTATAAAACTTTTGTCTTTGATGTAATTGTCCGTTACTAAGAACGGAACGGGGGATGGAAACGTTCTTAATTAAGAACAGAACAAGAGGGATGCAACCGTTCTTCAACTAAGAACGCCAAGAACGGAACGGAACGGGAAGACCATTCTCCTACTCAGAACGGAATGGAACAAGAACGGAACGATAAAAAAAGAGGAACGAGAACGTAACGATTTAGCTGAAGGCCCTCGTTCTAGAACAGAACGGAACAATTTCAAAAAAGTCGGAACGTGCCCAGCCCTAGAGCGGAGCACTGTAGAGAGACAACCAATCCGTTCTGTGGACAGCTCACAACTGTCAAGCATACAATTTATCTTAAGACAAAAATTTAAAATTTGATCATTGTCTCAATAAATATTCGGTTAAACATACAAAATAAATTTAGCAGGGGTTCATTTAAAAAACAAGCTTAGAAAAGCTCTTACATCTTTTTTTTTAAGGGGATCCAAGATGTTTTAATCCGAGGAACGGATGCGTTTGATTCAACAGTTTCCACCCTTCATGGAGTTAGTCTAGATACAGCTAGACCTGCTACACTAGGTAACATTTAATCAATCTTAAGTCTATAATTTAATTTGGCAATTTCAAATAATTTTTTTTGAAAACATATGGCAATACTCAAGCTTTCCTTACTTCCTTAATTTTTTTTTGCTGCAGACATCTTATAGGTGTCCATTTATTGAAAAATTACAAAATTTGAAAATCGATCTAAGATATACAATAATAAACAAAAAGTTTGTTAACAAAAATATCTAATCTGAGCTAAAAACTATCAATATTAATGCTTAATCTCCTGGTTTTACTAAACCCGAGATTATTTTAATACGCATTCAATATCCACGAAAAAAGTATAAAATTCAACCAATCAGCGCATCATGTTAAGATGTACTCTTTAACTTTTGAAAAACCGGTTTTTTTCTGGTGTTAATTGTGTCAAATCAATTGACCTAAACATCGATTAAATAAATGTAAGTTTTGGATTAATGTTTGTTAAGGCTAACGTTTAAATGATAATAGTCCTAAAATGTGATAAAATATACTTTTTAATAAGTTCATATTAACATAATTAAATTAATATTTGCTTAAATGCTCTAAAAGCCGTCTTGTGAACAGCTGACTTTAATTCAATCGGATATTAGTTCAATCGATACAGCATTGTATCTGTAATTTTTATCAAACGTAACTTTTATACAGTTGGGATATCCAAAAAATAGGATTAAGAATAAAATCAAAAGTGTGTATAACATTGGATACTCAGATTAAGCCATCAGGATTAAGGATATCTCATTCTAAAGTTTTCAGCTCAGAACACTTAAGGTTCCCCTAGAGCAGCTCTAGGTGTAGAGATGTGTACAACAATATATAATTTGTACACTTTAGGTTTCCTTAGACCTGCTCTAGGTGTAGAGATGTGTACAACAATATATAATTTGTACACTTTAGGTTTCCCTAGACCTGCTCTAGGTGTAGAGATATGTACATGTGTACAACAATATATAATGTGTACACTTTAGGTTCCCCTACGCCTGCTCTAGGTGTAGAGATGTGTACATGTGTACAACAATATATAATCTGTACACTTTTGGTTTCCTTAGGCGTGCTCTAGGTGTAGAGATATGTACATGTGTACAACAATATGTAATCTGTACACTTTAGGTTCCCCTAGACCTGCTCTAGGTGTGGAGATGTGTACATGTGTACAACAATATATATCAAAGATGTACACCACCAGGTTGCATAGATATAGGAATTAGAAAATTTTTCATTATTTTTTTCATTTAATCCCTAATGTATCACTTTATTGCTTTATGATCAGGTATTATAAGGAGAGTTATGTGGAAAGTGAAATCATCATTGATCTGCTAGGAAAATATTTTTTAATTTAAATTTCAAAATTTAATACAATTAATTACTTTTTTGTGATAATCTTGCCCATTTTTGAGAATTTAAATTAACAAAACTAATTTAGAACTTTCAAATACATTTCAAAATTGTTAGACTTCAAGACTATTTTGTTTGATTTTTTATTTAATTTAACGCATCCGTCAGATTTTACCTTGGTGGTGAATGGAAACATGTATTTCACTGAATTTAGCGTTCCGCTTAGAACAGTTAATTTACAATATTATATTCTTGGAAATGACATCAAACTGCAATTAATAGTAACAGACAATATACTCGTATTCTATCCGTTTATTACAATCCTGGTTCCAACACAAGTCACGTGGATTTAACAGTTGATCCTAATTTAACTAAATAAAAATTGTTTCTTGCCTTCTATCTTTTATCCTTTTTTTCTCGATAGAAGCAGTTTAAATGAAAAAGTATAAAAAGATACCCAAGTTTACAGATTGTTAAATCCTATTTAGACAAAAACACGAATGAATTTAAATAGTAGAAACAGAATGCATCTTGCCCTGGTTTGCCCAGGGTGAAGTGATTTTTATGAGATCTGTAATTACGCGCAATTCCGCACAATTCTGCACAATTCCGCGCAATTTTTCCCATTCAGTGCAATAATGCACTAATCTGCACTATTGCGCGCAATTCCGCACAATTTTAGTACAATTTAGCGCAATTCTGCACAATTCCGCGCAACGGAATTCCAATAATAAACCCTAATCCCGTCCTAATTTAATAAGGTTTAGAAAATAAATAAAAATATATAAAAGGTGACTCTAAACCCTGTGATTGTAATGGTAGAACAGATACATGTGATCCTGCTACAGGAGCCTGTATAAACTGTAGAGATAATACTGCAGGTTTAACTTTATAACAACATTTATCAGTTTCGGACTCATTTATCATTAATCTTTATTCATCAGTTTCGGACTCAATTATCATAAAACTTTATTTATTAGTTTCGGGCTCATTTATCACTAAACTTTATTCATTTGTTTTGGACTCATTCATTACAAAGCTTTATTCATTAGTTTTGGACTCATTCATCACAAATCTTTATTCATTAGTTTTGGACTCATTCATCACAAAACTTTATTCATTAGTTTTGGACTCATTCATCACAAAACTTTATTCATTAGTTTTGGACTCATTCATCACAAAACTTTATTCATTAGTTTCGGCCTTATGGATCAGTAAAGGAACTGATTTTTTGCCAAAAACTCAAGTTTTCTAATCCCATATCTTTGCAACCTGTTAGAGGAAACCTTTGATATTTCAGACAAAAATCATTTAATCTAGCAAAATAACTTGAAATATCAAAAGTCTACAACAAACATTTGGTTGCAAACATATAGAAATTAGAAAACAGTGCTTTTGAACTTTTCTTTGCAACCTGACGCTGTAGTACTTTAATGGTCACTCCTGTATGCCGAGTCCATTAGAGTCTGATCCAATCAGGGTTCAGTCATGTGTTTGGTGTCTATTCTAAACCAATAGAAATAGTATGGCGATAACATCTATCTTTTTATTTATCTCATTATACAATCAGAATTATGAATTCTTCAATAGGCGCTATCAGTAAACGGAAATATGTACTTCTACTGAAAGGAAAGTGTGGTTGAACCCACCAAAACCCAATGCAACATTAATGCTGTGTTGAAAAACAATATTTTCAAATAGTTTTTTTGAAATATAGAAACTTTACCATGTCTAATCTTAAAAAAAAACTTACAAGGGAAAAGTTTAAAGCGAGTAGGTTTCCTTAAACTATGAAAACACTAGTTGTAGAATTCAAGAAAACATTCAACAAAAAAGTCTCCAGAGCTTGGTAGGTTAAACTTTGAGTATTCAATGTAGCAATGTTAAACCTTGTAAAGGCTGGGGGAGAATAGGTATAGGGTTGAAAAGCATATTCACAGCCCAATTTTTCAAGGCCAGCACATTGAAAAAAATTAGATCAATAACTTGTATAGTTTATGTGCTAGGGAAGGTTTAAAAAAGGTCAAAAAAATGTAAATAAATATTTTTTGTTTAAACAAATATCAAAGGGTGACACGTATTTCTACATCCATTTTTTATGAGCTTTTCAAAAATATAGTTTTAAGATCTGTAGCTTCAGTCATACAAAAGTTATGGTCTGTTTTAAATTTATTTTTTACACAGACCGGACTTTTTAACACCCTGTACCCTACCCTTTCACATTTCTAAACATTTCACGGTGAAAGTTTCAAATATAAGAGTGCTAGGGCAAAAAAAACTAAAGGGGGGGCCTGGCGAAACCCCCCCCCCCAGTTTGTGTTTGTTTAAGATCCAGTTCCTTTATTTGACCTTAATTAAAGAAATTAGGATGTTTCAGTTGAAATATGTTTTTAGAATTTAAAACTTTTTTTCTAGACTTTAGAGAAGACTTTTTTAATTGTCAAGAACTCCCGATAAAATTTCCTGCGTGAGTTTTTAAACCAGGAAATTTGGTCGATCAAATAAACAATGTTTAAAATATTAAATGGTTTACATTCAAAAGGGAAAATAAGAGTTTGAGGCAATTAATCGTTTCCAATTTTTTATGAATGTAAAATATCATGGTAACCTTGAAGTCTGCAAGATCAAATATAAAAACTTTAAAATATTGAAGGTGTTCACCATCATGTTGCAATGATATAGTGAAAGTTTGAAATTGAGGCGTTATTTTCAGGAGCATTGTGTGATATATGCGCGGCAGGCTTCTATGGAGATCCTGTACATGGAGAACCATGTACACCTTGCCAGTGTCCAAGCAGTGATAGAAACTTCGCCCTAACTTGCAGTACAGCAGCCAGTGGGGCATTCAGCTGCCAGTGCCAGGAGGGGTATACAGGTACATAATAGAGTACATGCAGTACCTGTGCATCATCTGCCCGTGCATCATCTGCCAAAGCCAGGAAGGATACATAATATAGTGTATCATAGAGTACATGCAGTACACAATGTCTTTCTGTTGGTTTATCTTTTTTAAATCGCTCTGTATTAATATAAACACAAAACTAAATTGTTTAAATTTTATATTTTTTAATTCTACATTTGAGAAAGGATATTAATGAATTATGTTCACTTTGAACGTGCTTAAGTTCTGCTCAAATTGAACTTCATTACTGTAAGAAGAGGCTGTGCTCGGTGCCAGAGGTGATGAACAGCTTTCTTTGCAGATTCTGATAACAGATACCCTGCTATGGAATCCCCAGTCTGTTCCAGGTCATCTGTATGAAGAACCCTTTTAAACTTTGGTAATGGAATACTCTAGAAGAATCAGTATAGTTCAAAAGCGACAAATCTGGACTTTTTGTTGGCCAGGGTTGATCCATCATTCGGCCTATTGTTTAAACTTATCTTTTAACCACTCTATTAGCAGAGCTTAGAAGAGTTTCTCATACAGATATTGACAACTTGAAACAGACTGTGGACTCAACAGTGTGGAGTCCTTTGCAGAGTCTTTGGAATCAGAAGATGCAAAGAAAGATGTTTATCACCTCCGGCGCCGAGCACTAGCCTGTTCAATTTGAGCAGATCTTGAGCAAACTCAAAGTGAACATAATTGGAGATCATTGATATTTTTTCTCAAATTGTAGGATTAAAAAATATAAGATTCAAACAAATTAACTCTGTGTTCATATTAATATAGAGCGAGTTATAGAAAACAAACCATTAGAAAGACACTGTTTTAACAATCTTCCCTGTAGTTCCTTGCATCATGATAAACTTTAAATATTAATTCTTTAATTACAATTGAAGGGGACTGTTAGCGTATTTTAAAGTCACCCTAAATGCAAAGATAGCAATGCTCGGTTGAAAGCTTGGTTTAGTATAGTTTTGATAAAACATCCATGTTTTTTGTTAATTTAAACTGTTTATTTTCCTTTTCGGGTTCAGAATTAAACAGTTTTCGAGTCAGAAACGCAATGGTTATCTTCCACTTTTAAGATCAAATTAATCTTTTAAGGACACCGTTGTAAATCGGGCAATTGCCATCTTTGCATGGAGGGTCACTTAAAACTACGCAAACAGTCCCTTTAACAGCAAATAACAAAATTAAAAATATGCTTGAATATTTTTTGATTTTAGGACCATCTTGTGACAGATGTGAATACGGTTATTATGGAAACCCAGAGAAAGAAAAGGACTGTTTACAATATCAAATATATTTTAAAAGGTCTGTTCACAATATCAAATATATTTTAAAAGGACTGTTCACAATATCTAATACATTTTGAAAGGATTGTTCACAATATCAAATATATTTTAAAAGGACTGTTCACAATATTAAATATATTTTGAAAGGACTGTTCACAATATCAAATATATTTTAAAGGTCTGTTCACAATATCAAATATATTTTAAAGAAGCTGTTCACAATATAAAATATATTTTAAAGGGACTGTTCACAATATCAAATATATTTTGAAAGGACTGTTCACAATATCAAATATATTTTGAAAGGACTGTTCACAATATAAAATATATTTTAAAAGGACTGTTCACAATATCAAATATATTTTGAAAGGACTGTTCACAATATCAAATATATTTTGAAAGGACTGTTCACAATATCAAATATATTTTAAAAGGTCTGTTCACAATATCAAATATATTTTGAAAGGACTGTTCACAATATCTAATATATTTAAAGAGACTGTTCACAATATCAAATATATTTTGATAGGACTGTACACAATATCAAATATATTTTAAAAGGTCTGTTCACAATATCAAATATATTTTAAAGAGACTGTTCACAATATCAAATATATTTTGAAAGGACTGTTCACAATATCAAATATATTTTAAAAGGTCGGTTTACAATATCAAATATATTTTAAAGAAACTGTTCACAATACCAAATATATTTTAAAGGGAATAAAATAAAAGATATAGTGATTATAAAATCCGAGTTTGTGGCAAAGACTGAATTCCCTTAGGTTCAAAATAATTCTTAATATATATTATGTATTTATTATTAAGGTTTATGCTACTGTGTACCCGGTGTGAAAGGGAGAGATTGTTCCCAGTGTGAACCAAGACATCTGCTTACTTCTCTCAGGTTCGGATAGAGAGATATTAGCGTTGAAACAAATACACCTACTTAAGAAACTGAATAAGTATTTATATATAAATATACGTCGTTTTTAAATGAAAGTAACCAAACTGAACATAAAACTCTTTCTTGACTCAATTTAATTAAAAGAAATTTATTATTTAAATTTTGATTGATCATAAAAAAAAGACTGAACACTTGCCACAAACTCTAGTTGTTAACCTTTCATATTTTAAACATGGGTTAGATATTATGAGTAGTGAGAAATAGTTGAACCACGTAGATGTAGTCAAACCACTTTTCTTATGCGCTGTCTTCACGGTACAAAAACATATACACGATTCAAATACATCTACTCGATTCAAATAAATCTACGCGATTATAATACATAAACTTTTAAAACTACATGTACGCGTATCAAATACATTTACTCGATTAAAATAAATCTTGCATAATAGTGAAATAAATATTGTAATTTGTAAACCTAGAATTTGAATATATTTGCAATCTACGCGATTAAAATACTTTTACGAGATTCAAATACATCTATGCGATTCATATACATCTTCACGATTCAAATACATATACGCGATTCAAAAACATCTACGCGATTCAAATACATCTACGTGATTCAAAAACATCTACGCGATATAAATACATCTACGCGATTCAAATATATCTAGGCGAGTCAAATACTATCTATTAAATCTAATTCCAGAATTTGTGGTTTAAATATCATATGTCTATGATAATGATATCAGGTTGTGTTTATTTATTATAGATTCTTAGTTTTTGAGAAAAATGAGTTCAAAACTTTCTAATATTTAACAAATGTTTAGAAAATGCAAAAACTGTAACGATGCTTGCGTTGGAACTCTTCTAGGTATATATAAACATAAACATCATAAAAAACATAAACATAAACATAAACATAAACATAAACATAAACATAAACATAAACATAAACATAAACATAAACATAAACATAAACATAAACATAAACATAAACATAAACATAAACATAAACATAAACATAAACATAAACATAAACATAAACATAAACATAAACATAAACATAAACATAAACATAAACATAAACATAAACATAAACATAAACATAAACATAAACATAAACATAAACATAAACATAAACNCCCATCAAATCATTTATTTTTCCCAATTCAGCAAATAAAATCCTAAAAAAAGTAGCATAAATAACTTCTGGGAAAATTTTTTTCAAAAGGGGAGGGGAAGAAAAATGATTTTTCGAGAAAATATACACCCCTGAGTTGACCTAATCACGGTCCTTTTAACTTTCATTAGAGGTTTATAGAATTAAGAATCGGATCGTTAAGTTACAAGGATATAGGAATAAAGTTTTGCGGAAAATCCACAAGCTAATTCCTGTTATATTCTGCAGGCTGAATTATCTGAGCTGGAGGTGGATAAGCTGAGTAAGATCAGCTCTGACCAGCTGGAGAAAACCAGGCTTATCCTGGAGTACGGAAGCAGGGTAGGAAATACTATCCAAACCCTGGAGAAGGATATTATGGATCTAGTGATATACCTGGATAATCATGGTCGTGAGAGAACCTCAGCGGTTAGTCTCTCAAGAGCTCTGGCCCAAGCTTCAGGAATAAACTTTTTTAACATTTATTTTCTAAAATAATTTTGATAAATTATGTTATCAGTAAAGTCCACAGTTAATTCACTCTTATTTTGTTTGTTCCATTTTCTGGGCAATTTTTTTTTTAACTTCAGCATCCAGAAGAACTTTTTTCACAATTATTTTTTAAAAATGTGTTTAATAAATTATCATAGTGCATTTTATAATCTTTGAAAAATCCATAATCATTCCATAATGTTTATGATTTGTTGTACACACTGTGATAACTGTGCCCACTTGGACATGTCATTCTAAACTTCTGTAATAAGTTCTATGACCTAGATCATAGAGAGAATTGGTGACTATAATTCTTTTTTAAATAATAATTGTAGGCCTTCTATCTACAAAGGAACTGGTTCCTCGTCGCATATCCAAAATATTTTTCTAGGTCAAATAGTTCAACTTTGAAATATCAAACCATTATGCAGTTGACTTTTCATGTGTTCGCAGGTCTTCTTTAACATTTAAAATGCTACAATAGCACCAAGAAACAGTGGAATTGGAAGACGACGTTTATGCTTAATAAATGATTTTGAATAAGCCAAATACAATTGTACACTTGCGGACACCTATTTCAATTAATCTGTATGTGAAACTCTGCTTTCTATAAACAACATCAAATACACTTAACAGATTGCTGTTATATCAACTTCCTATTCCACAGTTTTCTGTTTCCTACTGTTTTTACAAAAATAAACATGAATTAATAACAATAAACATTAGATTTGTGAATGGACGATTTGCTGAACATAATTAAAGGGAAAAATCTGAATTTCATCTTTTTCTCTATTCCCAACTAAGAAAGTTTTTTATTGTATTACAGATATCTTGGCTGGAATTAAAGAGATAGATTTTACAGAAACTGATATACGATCTAGAACTGAACTTAGCGAAGCCAGGATCTTGTATGATAAGGTTCAGCTTCTTATATTTGGGAAGATTGAGCTGAGTTCAATCCAGGAGAAGGTTGACACAGTTGACAGTCTTGTGAATGATCTGCTTCAGTATATAAATCAAGGGATGAGCTCGGTAAATCAAGCAACTCAATGGAATCAAAATAATCAAAATAAAATCAAGGAAGTGGATTCAAAATGTCGAGCAACAGCGGAACTAAAATCCAATTCTAGTCAAGCATTGACGAACGGAAGACAGCTGGTTGAGGAAGGACGAACCATCCTTGATTCGTCTATGAAGCATTACAATGAACTAACAAATATCCAGGGTAGGTTCTTAAACAGAGAGAAGGCACTAGAGGAGAGAGAAATAGGATTATCCAGGGTGGTGGAGGACTACAGGTACAGATTAAAAATATTGAAAAACAAATGTAAAAATTTTATTAGTTTAAAAATCCAAAAGCTTTTTGTATCATAAAGACATAAATTTTTTAACGAAATGAGAGTCGCTTTACTGATTTTTAATATTCAGGGATATATAATTTTTGGTGGCTAATCGTTTCTATTATTTTTTATTCATTTGAACTATTGATTTTCTAGATATATATGAAAAGATGTAATAATTGGTTTTACCTTAAATCTTTTTTTTCAAACTATAATTTTTAGTTCAAATACACACTACACATGGGCAGTTTAAATCCTTAAGTGTTCATAAAATCAGTAGAATACAAAACAGTGATTTAATCAGAATTGTACATGCCATTCATTTAGAGAATTGTCGTCTTCTAAATGAGATTACTGTGGTTGTGCATTGAGTCTGTTGATGACAATCATAATCTTTAAAATTAATAAAAACTGTTTGCTATATTGATGATTACGAGACTAAACAAAGACGACTTTCACTCCGATTTAAACTTGGTATACCAGTGTACTTTTTTTCACAGTATACACAGCTCTTGGATTTTCGACCTCAATTTTGACAGTTTTTAAATTCAAAAGTTTAATAATAACGACATCTCTTCTCTCTAGTTCTATCTTTAAAATCTGTGATTTTAGGACTAGGTTTAATCTCCCATGTCAAGCTAACGCGGAGAAACTGTTTGCATTTGCTCAGAGACTTGAACGCATGTTTGACAAAAGGTTTGTTGTTAAAGGGACTGATATTGTATTTTAGAATACCTTTCGTTTAAAAACAGGGGCATGTCCAATTAACAACGGTCCCCCTTGAAATACTCGCAAGATCAGTATTATAAATATCTGAAAACGGTTGTAAGCAAAAAGTTGCTGAAAAATCTTTAAACCAGCGGTTGAAAGTAAAAAAGTCCTGAAAAATCTGAAAACCAGCGGTTTAAAGCAAAAACGTTATTCAGGAAAAATTATATTTCATTAAATCAAAATAATGTTAAATTGAATTTTAAAATAAAGACATTAAGATTGCTGTAGGATTTTGTGGAAACATTTTGCTCTTAAATGCATACCAAAAAAGTATTTAATTTTGAGGTACTGATAAAACTATTTACTTTTCAGCAACGTTAATTACTCATCAAATTACCGAAATGTCGTCTTCCTATTTCAAAGTTGTATTGCTCTAAGTATTTGTATATTTGTTTGTTCAGAGTTGGGGTGAATGCCGACCAGGCACTTCAAGCTGCTAACTCCTACAAGAAGATTATTGACGCTCTTCAAAATGCCAGGATAGCAGCTAGAGAAGCTCTAGAAGCTTCTATTACTACATTTAAGGTAGAATAATGGCTAATGAAGCTCTAGACGCTTCAATTACAACATTTGAGGTAGGAAAGCAGCTAAAGAAGCTCTAGACGCTTCTATTACAACATTTAAGCTAGGAAAGTAGCCTTAGAATCTCTAGAAGCATCTATTAAAATATGTGAGGTAAAAAAATCAGCCAAAGAAGCTTTAGACGCTTCAATTACAACATTCAAGGTAGAAAAACAGCTAGAGAAACTTCAGAAGCCTCAATTACAAAATTTAAGGTAGGAAAGCGGCTAGAGAAGCTTCAGAAGCTTCAATTACAACATTTAAGGTAAAAAAATACATACAAAACTGTTAGAACACAACAACGATCGCTTCTTAATAGTTGTTGAGATGAAGGTTTAAGGAATCGTTGAAGGGATCGTTGAAGGGATCGTTGAAGGGATCGTTGAAGGGATCGTTGGAAAGGAAAACTCCTTGAAAGAAGGATCGCTTGACGTTGCCTAGCTCTACACTCTACAGTCCTCTTTTTTCTCGCCTGCTCAAGGAATTTTTAAGAATCACTTAAAGAAAAAACTTTAATTGATAAAAAATCTATTTTAAGACATAAAAAGAGGAATAACTCCATCACCCTTGCTAAAAAAAAGACTTAAATGGTTACGCAGTGAATCGTTCATGCTACTCTATAAATTGAGGGTCATTTAAACTTTAAATACCCTGTGCTTAGGAGGTTGACCCCCCTGGACGGATGAACCTGAGATTTAGAACGGAAAAGGCCCGACTCCGCTCTGAGGATCTCAGGCAGGAAGCTCATGGTCTCGGGAAGAATGCTGATGATATGGGAATACAGGGACAACATTTGATTTATAGCGAGATATAGTTGAACCACATAGACTTAGTTCAACCACATAGACTTAGTAAACCACATAGACTTAGTAAACCACATAGACTTAGTTCAACCACATAGACTTAGCTGAACCACGTAACTTATATGAACCACATAGACTTATTTCAACCACATAGACTTATTTCAACCACATAGACTTAGTTCAACCACATTTACTTAGTTCACCACATAGACTTAGTAAACCACGCTTTCTTAGCTGAACCACGTTTACTTTGTTGAACCACGTTTACTTTGTTGAACCACGTTTACTTTGTTGAACCACGTTTATTTTGTTGAACCACGTAAACTTAGTTGAACCACGTAGACTTGGTTCAACCACATAGACTTAGTAAACCACGCTTTCTTTGTTGAACCACGTTTACTTTGTTGAACCACGTTTATTTTGTTGAACCACGTAAACTTAGTTGAACCACGTAGACTTAGTTCAAACACATAGACTTAGTAAACCACGCTTTCTTAGTTGAACCACGTTTACTTGCTTGAACCAAGTTTACTTTGTTGAACCACGTTTACTTTGTTGAACCACGTTTATTTTGTTGAACCACGTAGACTTAGTTGAACCACGTAGACTTAGTTGAACCACGTAGACTTAGTTGAACCACGTAGACTTAGTTCAACCACATAGACTTAGTAAACCACGCTTTCTTAGTTGAACCACGTTTACTTTCTTGAACCACGTTTACTTTGTTGAACCACGTTTACTTTGTTGAACCACGTTTATTTTGTTGAACCACGTAAACTTAATTGAACCACGTAGACTTAGTTCAACCACATAGACTTAGTAAACCACGCTTTCTTAGTTGAACCACGTTTACTTTCTTGAACCACGTTTACTTTGTTGAACCACGTTTACTTTGTTGAACCACGTTTACTTAGTTGAACCACGTAAACTTAGTTGAACTACGTAGACTTAGTTGAACCATGTAGACTTATTAAAACCACGCTTTCTTGGTTGAACCACGTAGACTTAGTTGAACCATGTAGACTTATTAAAACCACGCTTTTCTTAGTTGAACCACGTATACTTTTTGAAACCACGTAGATTTAGTTGAACCAAGTTTACTTTGTTGAACCATGTTTACTTAGTTGAACCACGTAGACTTATTTAAACCACGTACACTTAGTTGAACCATGTATACTTACTTGAACCACGTATACTTAGTTGAACCACGAAGACTTATTTGAACCACACTTTCTTAGTTGAACCACGTTTACTTTGTTGAACCATGTTTTTTTTAGTTGAACCACGTTTACTTGGTTGAACCACGTAGACTTTGTTGAACCACGTAGACTTAGATGAACCACGTAGACTTAGTTGAATCACACAGACTTAGTCCCCACTTCTTTTTGTGAGCTGAGTCGAATCTGAAGAGAAGCGGTTTAAACACATTAGGACCCATTATAACTGTAAAATACAAAGACGACTTTTAGACTCAAATGTTTTTTCTCTAATTACTTATGACCAATGAACATTGAATATGAAACACGGCAAATTTGCAGTAAACACTTGACATTCCCCTTGCTAATTGATTTTCAAGTTATTAGCAAACAAATATCTGCATTGTAACATAATAAATTTATTGAAGATTGTTTTATTGTCGTCTTCCTATTCCACAGTTTTATGGATATCTATGTAAATCTCGCGATTAATTAAATCTTGTCCCAGATAAACAGCTTGAAACTGGAACTAGAAAAGAATAAGTTTGATTTGGAACAGACGGGTCAGCTTGTCGCAGATATAGGACAGGAGTTGAAGCAGCATGATTATGTATCAAGGTAGGATTATATCATAAATATTTGTAACTACTACCTGTAACCAGGGTTGACATGAAAAAATCCGGCCCAAAAAAAAACACACAAAAAATAATAAAACCAATTCTAAAAAACCCACCTTTAAGTGAGGTTTTTAGGTTTTTTTTCAAATTTTTTGAACTATTTATGACTTTAAATAGTCCAATGATTATAAGACAAAGCGATTTTGCTGTGAAAACAGATCCCATTTAACTCGAACGTAATTTTACAAGTTATAAGAAGAACTATTTGCTTTGTAATAACATAAAATATTCTTAATTATTACTTGACTGTCGTCTTCCTATTCCACAGTTTTCTTGTTCTGAGAACTGTACATTTTGTACTGCTAAAATTGCCTGAGCCTGAAAACAATAATTAACGCATAAGGTGATGAGAGTACAGGAGGTGAATGTCTCCGATCATATGATGTTGGATTATCTCCATCCACCCATAACGAGATCAGTATCATCTACGGGATCGAAACCGAGGATCGAGATGCTCTTCTAGCATTCCTTCCTACTGGGAAGAGAACAGAACAGGGAGGATTTAATTTCATAGCGCTAGAGATGATTGATCGTAGGATTAGATTTGTTTGGAACCTGGGTTCAGGTACACAATCAATCACACACAATGTTGTTATTGAGAGTGCAGTACGGTTAGATCGGCAGGATACACTGTGGTACAAGATTACAGCTGAGAGGATTGGGAATATCGGTAGGTTAAATGTTCGAAAAATTCGACCAAAGTACGATCTACCTGAGTACCATCAATGGGTTGTGGGAGAAAGCCCTGCCTCCTCGAATATTCTGGCTGTTCATGAGACGGATAAGCTGTGGGTTGGTGGTGCACCCAACTACTATAAAACAGCTGATCTGAAATCTGGCGGGAAATTCAACGGAGTGATTTATCAGCTGATGGTGAACAAGAACAGGATTGGGCTCTGGGATTTCTCTTCGAACTTTGGATGCAAGGAAACCTATCCAGGAGTAACTGATATAGTTAACCAACATTCATGTCACTCATTCTCTGGCTCAGGCAAACAATTTAGAATAATAATAACTAACTTAATCCATTGAATTTACATATCCAATATCCATGGAACTAAGGAGAAGGGGAGAGGGATTGTTTACATTGTATTACTATTAGTGATAGGACAGCTCAAAAATATTTACGGTCAGCTAGTTCTAGCCAAAGAGCTTAAAGAGCAGGTATTGAGATTAATACGCAAAATCAGACGCCACAATTAATTTAAATAAGAAGCCATAGAATGTCGTCTTTTCTATAATTTAAAAAGATTTTAGGATTTTTTAAGCATTTCCATCACCAGAAACTTGCGTTTTTTACGTAATTTGTCGTTAGAAATGCATAACTTTAATATCTTTTTAAATAAACTTTATCTTAAAACAGATTGCAATGTAATTGGTTAAAAAAATTGGCAACTTAAAACCAAAGTTTTTTCGGGCCGTGCTCACGTTACTGACCTAAAATTCTGCTTTAGACTATTGAGAACTCTAGGTCACGATCAACTTCTAAAGTGTTTAGGTTTTAGCCTAACCCCCTTCATTTTTCCTTAACATTCCCTTCAGAAACCTCTCGAGGTCGAAAACAGACTATACATCACCAATTTTACCAGCGTAAGCTATCAAATCTAAATTGTTTGAATTCAGGTTACGCAACTCAGGATCAAATACGCAATTACGATCCAAGATATTACGCAATATCCTTGGAGTTTAAAACTTTTGATGAGAATGCTCTACTGCTGATGGTGGTTAACCATGAAAACCAACAGAATATGTTGATCCAACTCCAAGAAGGGATGGTCAAATTCATCATAGATTATGGAGACAATGTTAAGTTGGAGTTTTCAACTAAAAATACGTACAATAGTGGGCAGTGGGTAAAAATCGAGGCTGGGAGGGCATACAGGAAGGGGGTAGAGACAGGGGTGCTCAGGGTTACTCATAGCGGGGTCAGAGAAGATTTAATGGATACACTTCCATCATTAAAGGTAATAAACTGATTAGTTAGAGAGATAGAACTGTTATGTATTAGTTATGTTTTATACAATTTCTATGAAAACATGATTAAAAACAGTTTTTACTTAGCAATGTTTTTAGGTTCGTGAACTTGAGATGGGAGGATCTAAACTGTATTTTGGAGGTGTTCCTCCTGATTTTCCATACAATAAATTCCCTAATATGGTCACCAGAGCTTTACTTGGGAATATGAGAGGGATAACCACATCTAATCCAGGTATTATTAGAGGGATTACCACATCTAATCCAGGTATTATAGGGATTACCACATATAATCCAGGTATTATTAGAGGAATTACCACATCTAATCCAGGTATTATTAGAGGGATTACCACATATAATCCAGGTATTGTTAGAGGGATAACCACATCTAATCTAGGTATTATTAGAGGGATTAATTACCACATCTAATCCAGGTATTATTAGAGGAATTACCACATATAATCCAGGTATTATTAGAGGAATTACCACATATAATCCAGGTATTATTAGAGGAATTACCACATATAATCCAGGTATTATTAGAGGGATTACCACATATAATAAAGGTATTAGAGGGATTACTACATATAATCCAGGTATTAGAGGGATTACCACATATAATTCAGGTAATATTAAAGGTATTACGACATCTAATCCAAGCATTATTCGGAGGATTACCACAAATAATCCAGGTATTATTAGAACGATTACAACATCTTTTCCAGGTTAGATCCAATTGTATTCTAAATACTAAGGTGTGTCTAAGTTTTCAGGAAATTGCTAAAACTACTGCAAGCTTATTGTGTGTGTTTTTATATAATATATCTGAATTAACTTTTGTCTTTTATCAAGCATGGAAAATATTTAGGATCCAACAGCTTGATGAATCCCTTGTATACAGAGCAAGGACGGATGAATCCCTACTACGGAGTGGATCACTATTGTGAACACAAGATCCTGAAATCTGTTCTATGCCGGGGTCAGGGACATATTGAGGTCAAATCTCAACCCTTGAGACGAAACAGCAGCTTTGGATTCACTTTTAAGACAAAACAGGTATGATATTGTAATTGTATACAATCGTCGTCGTATATATCAATACAATGAAGAAGACATTCTATTTTATTTTTTTATTTTACCAAGCTTTCAAATAACTTGGAATAAATGATGAATGGAAACAAACAGAAGCTGCAGTCTGCAGTCAATTAACAGATTCTTTTAATGTTTACTTGCTCTATTGTCATTTGGAAAATTTTTTGTTAGAAATCAAAACCTAGATAGAAAAGTCGTCTTAATTGTATTGATATAAATGCTGACCACTGTACCATTCTTTTCTTCATAATGTATAGACATTTTAGCCTAAAGGGTTAATCATTGCCTTGCCATTTTTTTACTTATTAATATTACTCATTAATCTGATCATAAACTTCTATAATGATGGCAACCTTTCTAATTTTTGTCTTAAATGATTGTTATACATATATGTCGTCTTCTTTCGGAAAACTTTTTTTTTCCCTTTTATTGTTAGCTATTTTATACCTTTTCTTGATAACATTTCTTTTATCAGGGAAATGGTGTGATTCTTCTCTCTACCTTCCTTGGACAGCCGAGCGGGAGCATTGCGGATTTCTACTCCATCTCTCTAGTTGATGGGCGCATCCATCTTGCTTTTGGGAACAGTGCTGCAGACATTACAAGGTTTACCACTGATGGCATTTACAGTGATGGCTTCAGCCATTCTCTTTTTGTCAATAAACAAGCAAATAAGGTAAAAAAAATTACATAACTTTTTTTAAAAGATATTATCACAAAAACTTTTACTTAATGATGGTGATGACAAAAATAATAATAATTCTTAAAATGAAAATAAAATTGATAATAATGATAATAATAATAATATTTAGGTAAGTGTATATGTTGATGATGCCCGGGTGGATAGAGGAGAAATTCTGCTTGATCCTTCAGCAGTTAATATCAAGGTAATTATACAATATACAGGGTGTCCCAATAAGCATGGGAATTCAGTGACAAATTCGATATCGTCTTTTTAAATAATTCTTTGGTTTAGTATAGTGATACCTACTGAGAAAGCTGTAATCTGTAAGAGTTTTGTCTGCTATTTTCACATTTATTTTTATAATTTGACTGCATAAGGGTGTGCTTAGTAAAACAAGAAAATTGCAGTATACAAACAGAGTAAACTTGTCCGTCTTCACTGTTCATCTTTCGGAGACATTAAAGACACATCTTTACAGTCTTTTACCCTGTTCATAAAATAAACTCTAACAGACATAATACTATTATGGCTTTTGAAATCAGGTATTACAATACTAATTCATAACAAAGGCGATATTGAATTCGTCACTGAAATCCCATGTTTTGGGACACCCTGTACAATCCTTTATAGGGAGTAAAAAAGAGGAAAAAGTTAAGTGGAGTGTCTGTCTAGACATGGTAGTTGACCTCAGAGTACTAAGTAGTATTGTAGAGAAATTGTTTAAAAAGCATTTAAGAACTTTAAGAGGTTTGTACAGTGTATAGTTGCTAAGAACGAGCGCAAAATCAATCTTAAAAGTTAAAATGCCGCACCACAACCTGTCTGGGGCGAGCGCCAGGAGGATTTCTATAAAGATCGATTTTGTGCTTGTACTTAAATTATACACCGTACAAACGTCTTACAGGTCGAAAATAATTTAAAAATAATGTCTCTACATTATTACACTCTCAGGTCAACTACCATGTCTAGCCAGACACTCCCTTTTTTACCAAAGTACATCAAGTACATTTTTCAAGAAGAGAGTTTTTTCTGTCGACGAAAAAATATTTTTAAGTATGGCTACTGCACATGAAATTGAATTGTTTAAGAATTGAAAATTATTTGCACAAAGAATTTACAAACTTTGATTTTCTAATTGCTATATCTATTGAACCAGATGTCGTAGACCTTTATATCTAAAACTATGAATTTTTTTGGATCAAAAATCTAAGTTTAAAATATCACAGGTTTACAATTTTAAAATCCAAGTGTGTCGCAAAAACTCAATTCATTTAAAATATTGAGAAAAAAATGGCGAGAATTTTTTCTTTGTTTTACACAAAAATTATTATTGAGATAATTCTAAAAATACTGTTTTTGAAAAAAAAAACTTTAACACTTTCTTTTTTTTAAGTATTGAAATTTTCGTTTAGGCTCCGGCAATGGGAGGACTATTCTTGGGTGGAGTTCCTTCCATCATTTCAGATCAAGTTCTATCCTTGAATATGTTACCGACGTCGGACAATTTTGTCGGAGTAATTCGAGATTTTGCTTTCATCGACGAGGTTTCTGTTCGTATTGTTGCGATGAATGAACCAGTTTCTTTCTTCAATGTAGCAATCGGTAGAGGGGCTTGAGACACATTTGTTAAACTTTTAAACTTATGATAACAGATAAATTTTGCAACTTTTTATATTATTCAATAAATATTTAGCTCTTTTATATCTTTTTATTTGACTATTATTGTCTGATTGTGGATTTGATGGAGTAATCTTTGTGAATCAAATTCAGGTCTGTAAACGAAATGCCTTTGTCAATTCAATTTACTCCATTTTAAAAGAGGGTCTACCCTATTCCCAACGGTACCCTTGAAACTTTTATCTTAAAGTTTATTTCTAACAATTTCGCCATTGTCTTTTATGCAGCAGAAATGCCCAAGCCATTTTTGTAGAAAACCTAGACGATTGAAATCAATTTTCAAAGAGAAAATGGATATCTCATTCATTCGTTATCAGATAATTCTTTCAATATCATCATTTTAACATTTGAAGGCTAGGGACAATCATTAAAGACAGCCATTACTGTGATTTAATGGACTCAAGCTCTCAAGCAAAAATCGACGAGAATGTTGCCAATTACTACTTTAAAACCTAAACTAACAACAAGTAGTTTATAGTGCTAAAATGTACATGAGAATGAACAGAACAGAAAGTAAAAGAGAGTTAGAATGGGAAAATCAAAGTCCAAGGCGTTGCAACACTTTAAAGTCGACCCTGTCTTAAATATTGATTAGCCATTTTATGAGCAGGCTGATTTTTCTTCCTACAAATAAGTGTATGTTTGATAAAACTTAAAATGTATTTATAATTCTAATATTTTGTTTTGTTTTTGAAGAAAAATTGAGTAATAATAATAACATGTCCCTAAAGGAAGGATGACTTATAATTATAAGAATGTGGAAGGGTAGATGGGAAAGAAGAGTAGGGTGGAGGGATAGGAGAAAGGGAAAGTTATTCAACAGACATTTCGTGTTATGGACATTTATGTAATGTCCATCTATGTAATGTCGATTTATGTAATGTCCATCTATGTAATGTCCATTTATGTAATGTTCATCTATGTAATGTCCATTTTTGTAATGGACATTTATGTAATGGACATTTATGTAATGGACATTTATGTAATGTCCATATATGTAATGTCCATATATGTAACATATATGTAATGTCCATTTATATAATGTCCATTTATGTAATGTCCATCTTTTAAATGGTTTCCCTAAAATTGTTTCAATGCTTAATACTTGTTTATAGTTCCGGTCTTATAGTTCCGGTCTCGTGGTTCCAAGTTCTCTCCATGGTTGCGGATTGGTTCACGTATATCCAGGATCACCTGGAAACACGTTGACGAGGGGAGGAAGACCAATTTCTAGTCCGAGCCACATTCTCCTCATTTTCTCGTCCGAGCCACCTCGAAATTCTCGTCCTTCTCACCGATAGAACGTCGTTAAAGGTAAATATTAATTTTTTCACAAATTTTAAATGTGTTTGGGAAAAATTTGATATTTTATTTTTGGCCCAATGTGGCAAAATTTTCAATAAATAATTTCTCTTCAAGGATGGGACGTTCACAGATATTCTTGGAAGGACCATGTGGCTCAGACGAGGAAATGAGGAGAATGTGGCTCGGACTATATATTGTTGTAGTTGGCCATCCTCCCCTCCGTAGATCTTAGTTTCACACATACATAAAGATATAGTCCAGTTGTATGTCAACATTCTGCATGACTTAGTTTGATAGAATAAGATAGAAAATGGTGAAGATAACTTTGTTATTTTTGATAATACAATTCACTCACAAATGTTTAGCGGAACCTGAAGACACAGGAGCCTCCCAGTTTTGTACACTCAAGTCAGGAGAAGAATTAAATGGTAAAATAGATAAGTAAAAACCTGCTTTTTTCTTCACTATATTTTTCTTAATGAATTTAAGAGGAAATTTTAAGTAACCCTTAATTTTGAGTGGAATATTGGATTAATTAATCTAAAGAATTAATTAGACATCATAGTTAAAATTAATTCTGTTCAATTGTGTTTGTTTTTTCTCGCGTAAAAATTACTGGCATTGTCAGAATTAAACAGTTTTTAAGATAGAAAAAAGATGATGTCTTTCCTAAATTGTTACTCAATTAAGGTTTCTAAGGTACTGTTTGGAATTGAACATGCTGCCTTCTAAAATAAACATAGGGACACTTTAAATTATGTGAACAGTCCCTTTAAATATCATTTACAAAACCTTATTATTCAGCCACTCTACTAAAAATTCTGATTATCTTGATGTTTTAAATGAAGAATAAACCTTAAAGTATTTCCTTTGACAAATTAATTAACAACCTTCTCAAATATCGGAGAACATTTTCATTTTTTTCTTGTCTTTTTTTTGTCATATTTTTTTATTTTTTATTTTTAAACCTAATTTGTTCTAGTAAAAGCGTAATTTCAAGTGACCCTCTTTGAAAAGATAGCAACGCCCGATTTTAAACCTTCATCGAATCAAAAAGGTGGAAGATATCGTCGTTTTCTCACTCACTCAGAGAACATTTTCATTTTTTTCTTGTCTTTTTTGTCATATTTTTTTATTTTTTATTTTTAAACCTAATTTGTTCTAATAAAAGCGTAATTTCAAGTGACCCTCTTTGAAAAGATAGCAACGCCCGATTTTAAACCTTCATCGAATCAAAAAGGTGGAAGAAATAGTCGTTTTCTCACTCGAAAAGTTTTTATTTCTTTGAGTTTCTCCATTGCAAGCAAGAAATGTCCAAGTCACTTTTGCATTAAAACCGCAAATGAAAAATAAAGTAACAAAAATATTGATATCTTATTTTATTTAGACAAAGCGTTCAAGGGTACCGTTGTAAACCGAGCACTGCCATCTTCGCATGGACGGTCACTTGAAATTTCGCTTACAGTCTCTTTAAATTAAGACTTCATCTGTATTTGTAGATGAGAACTGCGGAAGTAAAACAAAGGAAGAAGAGAAGAAGGAAGAAGAAAACGAGGAAATGGAGAAATATGAAAAAATAAAATGGACGACTGCAGATGATTACAAGGTATCCTCGTATTATCCACATTCTTTATTTTTCGTGTCCGTTATGTTCAAAGTGTCTCCTGTATCCCCTTGTATCCTTATAAATTATTCCCTGTGACTGTATCCCCCTGTACCGTACTGTATCCCCTGTGGCTGTATCCCCCTGTAACGTACTGTATCACCTGTGGCTGTATCCCACTGTACCGTACTGTATCACCTGTGGCTGTATCCCCCTGTACCGTACTGTATCCCCTGTGGCTGTATCCCCCTGTACCGTACTGTATCCCCTGTGGCTGTATCCCCCTGTACCGTACTGTATCCTCTGTCGCTGTATCCCCCTGTACCGTACTGTATCCTCTGTCGCTGTATCCCCCTGTACCGTACTGTATCCTCTGTGGCTGTATCCCCCTATAACGTACTGTATCCCCTGTGGCTGTATCCCACTGTACCGTACTGTATTACCTGTGGCTGTATCCCCCTGTAACGTACTGTATCACCTGTGACTGTATCCCACTGTACCGTACTGTATCACCTGTGGCTGTATCCCCCTGTACCGTACTGTATCCCCTGTGGCTGTATCCCCCTGTACCGTACGGTATCCTCTGTGGCTGTATCCCACTGTACCGTACTGTATCCTCTGTGGCTGTATACCCCTGTACCTTACTGTATCCCCTGTGGCTGTATCCCACTGTACCGTACTGTATCCTCTGTGGCTGTATACCCCTGTACCGTACTGTATTCCCCCAGTACGCTACTGATGCATTGGAGATCGTTTGAAGGTCATTTCTTATATATTTTAAGATGTTAGACTTTGAAAAGGCTCAACAAGAATCTAAATGTAAATACTATTTCTAAATTTTATGCTAGACAAGTTTGTTTTTATTACATTAAAGAAAATCTTTTCTCTAACTAAGGTTATTATGCAAGGAAATTTTGATAATTCACATAATAGCTTCCTATGACCAGAATATTTCGTTGATTTTTTATGTGAAAGATGGATCCCATGTCAGGCTTTGTCATCCGTCTTGTGTTTACATTACCGCCCAGAGACAGTCCACTGCAGTACAAAAGATGCGTACACCTCTGAGATAACTTTCCTTGCATTATACCCTTGACTCTGACCAAAGATATTAACCAAAACGGTTATTTAAATCGTTTTCCGCTTTGAAAAATCGTTTTGTCTAATTTCTTTGATCAGAGAAATTAAACCAGCAATGTGTTCAATATCTCTCATCTTTGTGGAACACTTTATACGTCATGAAACCTGAAATTCATAAAACTGACTTGAAAACAATGCCCATGTCTGCAGCAGTATCCCTATTCTTATGAAAGCTTCTGTATCTATACTAAGATGTTTACCATTAATATTTCAGTTACGAGATATATTAGACGCGGGAGATGATAAAATTGGAACTAAGCCTAGAGAAGCAATTAAAATTTTTTCAGGTTTTTTTAAAATCATTGTAATTTATATGGATCATTGTAATCATTGTCATCATATATTTAAAATAAGCAATCTCAACTAAACCAACGTCGGTAACAATAATGATCAGTCAAAGAATGCAGCAAGGGTTGTCTAAATTTAATCATTTACTATCATTGTCACCATCATCTTTGTCACCGTTATGGCAATAATCATTGACCATATCATTATTATGATAAAAAATATAATCATCATTATCATGGTTCATAACAATAGACCAATTCCTATCATTGAAAGCATACAAAAAATTGGAAAGCCTTAAATTCAAATGATGGACATTATAATTGTTATCATTATTCACAATTACACTTTCTTGATATCATCATCAAAAGTTGTTAAACTATACTTAAACGCATTTTTTGTATTCATAATGTTTCTTTCAGAATTGTTAGAGTCTCATCCTAATTCACAAAGAGCTAGATACTCGTTAGCAAAGGTATAACTTTTAGAAAACCATGCATGTATGGCCACAAACTAAATCATTATATCATGTCATTAACACCATTATTAGTATCTTTACTTTATTTTTTATATAGAAAATAATATAAGATAATAAAATGATATTAACCCTATTCCTTCTGGGGGGGGGGTCAAGTTGACCCCCCCCCTGTAGTGTTTTTTACATAACTCAAAAAGTATTGGTATAAGGCAGTTGAAATTTTCTGAATTTACCTACATACCCAAAGCCCTCCATTTAGGCCTAAAACCGGGCTTTAATACTAACTGCCTGAGTCCTCAGGCACATTGAGGTTCTTCTGTATCTTGAGCTAGGGCTACGCTCTGGTTAAAAATAATATCAAAAAAGTCTCAAACCCTCTCGAAAAAGGAAAGTTTTTGGCTCAAATACTTTATACCTCGCCTCCCTTCAACCAGTAGGGTTATAAATAGTTATAAAAGTAATTATATAAATAATGGAAACTGTAACAATTATTGATTTTAGTTTTAATTATTAAATAACGACGACGAAAAATAAGGTAAAAATTATACAGTAATCTAAGTACGAACATATTGAATTTCTTATTTTCTCTGAATTTATTTGCAGATTTCTTCAAATTCTTCAAATGTCGTCTTTTCAGTAATATTCACGAAAATCTGCAAAACATCTTTGTGAATAATGAGAAACCAGAATAATGAGAAAATAGAAACTAATAATTGAACAAGATTACTTATTTTCGATGATAAGATTAATTTTTATTTTCTCAACCTGTTCCTAGACAACTAATTAGTTTAATGTAGAATTTTTTTTAACATTTTATGTCGTCGTTATTTAATAATTTAAAAAAACGAATTCTGAAAACGTATCCACCCCCAAAGCAGGAGTTTTGAACGTAGAATTTGCGCTCAAACTCAGGATTTACAGATCTTTAAAAAGTTTAATATGTCTCTAATGAATCCAAAAGAAGTTTTCCACAACACTGCATACTCAGTTCAAATACCTTAAATAGCCGGTCACTAACTTTAAACCCTGTCCGATTTATCTCCATTCTTAGACGAATAGCAGAAAAATTTGTAATAATTGTTTATCATTTAATAAAATCCATGAAGTAACAAAATTATCCCTTTTTCTCACGTTTTTTTTTCTATCAATAATTAAAGTGGAACTTTCAAAATTTTAATTATCTAAATTGGTTTTATCAAGTATAAGTTTGAGCCTTATATCAAATATTGGTTTAGCCGTTTTGATGTTTATTGGATACAAACGGACAAAGAAACACCCAGGCAAAGGACGTATATATATTATATACTAGCTGAAGTGCCCGGCATTGCCCGCAGAATTAAGAAAATAAGAAAATTAAATAATTTGAAAAAAATCGATTTTTTTAGCCCTTAAAAAATGTCAGTCCATTCGGTCCAGTCGTTTGGCCGGCTATAGGGAATATATATACGAATGTCTTGTTTTACTACACAGAGATGTATTTTCTTAGACTTATCAAGTAATGGTTTGGAGCTCCAATTCTACAGAAGAAAAAGAAGAATTCTGTTCTAAATCAGTTCAACATCTGAAGCATATTCTTAATGGTAAATAAGAATAATAATACAGAACACTCCCTCTTTTCACAGAAAATAAACGCCATTTAAAGATTTTTCTTACCTATTAGAATTATACGGTGGCCTTGAAGTTGATTTTCTTTCTAGTCGCTTAAATGCTCTTTCACACCTTAACAAATGTTGTTAAATATTGTTTATTATTTCTTTTAAGTAAATTTGAATTTATAGCAGCATCAGATCAAATATTATAAGTTTGAGAGGTTTACACCTTTTGGTTGCAAAGATAATAAGTATTATGAAGGGATATGTTCGACAAATAAAATCAAGAACTATAAAAAACTAAGACTCATACCTTATTATGAGTTTAAAGTTGAAATTTTTTATTCAATATATTAATCTTTAAAAAATACATTCTGTAGTTTTTTCTACTTCGCTTGGAATGAAAGATAGATAAAGCTTACTCTTTATAAAAGATAATTCAATGTTAGAAATGGGCATAGAGAATAGAATATATAGAGAGGAATTAAAAGAATCTCTCGGTATGAATTTTTTCAGTCCCTTTCAGATTATTGGGCGTACAGTTTAATATTTTGTTTCACGCTACAGATCGTATTTTTTTGAGAAATTATAAAAAATTGATCAATTTGTTTCTATGCAGATATAAGCAGGGAAGTGTTGAATAAACATGTAGCTGGATCCGCTACTCATCTTTATATTGATTTAGCTCAACACGATTGCAGGTAATTTATATACACTACAGTACAATACAGTACAGTACGATTGCAGAACTAAACAGTACATTACAACTGTAAAGTATAGTGCAAAAGGCAAAAATTAATTTTACATCAATTTGAATTATATTTCCCGCAAGGTTATAATGCAAGGAAAGTATTTCAGAGGTGTACGTATCTTTTGTACTGCAGTTTACTGCACAAGACGGATGTCGAAGCCTGACATGGGATCCCTCTTTTTTATATAAAAATTCAATGAAATATACTGGTCATTGGAAACTTTTGTGTGAATTATCAAAATTATCAATATTTAATGCATCTATTCTTGTTCACAAATTTACCTTTTTGATTCTTTCCAGAAACGGGCATGAGCAGATTGTAGATGCAATGCAGTATCATGAAGAAATAAATTCTACCTTAAGTGTCCTCACTTTCTATGCTATAGGTGCAGTATATATACATATACTATAGATAAGGCCGGGTGAAACTATTTGCCACTGATCAAAAATGTAAAAGATACCGTCGTTCTTCTGACTCGAGTTTTTAATATGAATATTTCTCCAATTGCTTCTTATAAGCAAGAAATGCGCAAATCACTTTATTTATCTTTGCATAAAACCCGCAAATAAAAATAAACATTTAAATTGCTAAAAAACATGGATATCTAATAATTCATACTTGATCAGGCAACGCTTTTAAGGGTACCGTTGCGAATCAGACATTGCCATCTTTACAATTAAAGAATGTCACTTGATATTACGTTAACATTCCCTTTGTTAAGAAAATGTTTAGAACAATTTATCTGTGGAAAGTATGATGAGTGCGCAAAGACAGTAGAAGTTGGTCTAGAGAAGTTTAAAGACGACTTCTTTCTCAAATTGATGAAAGCAACGTTGATGAAGGTGAAAAAAGAAACATCTACATTTATACTTTATTATAAATGACAAGTTTGAGAAATCAAATTTTACTTCAAACTTAACTTAAAATGTTTAAACCATGAGCTAAGTTCCTCCTAGCTCCTTTATCAAAACTTAAGAGAAATCTGTAAAGGTGTTCCTGTATTATGATCGGCGGACGGACAGACAATATACAGATTAATTCCTTAAATACAAGATAATAATATCTTTTTTTTAATCCAGAAAAGAGGAGATACAAAAGATGGAAATAAGTTAATACGGTAAATCTTTTTTTCCTTTGAATAAAATTTTAGCTTATATTTTATTAAATTTATTTCTAAAATAATAAAAGAGCAAAAAAAATTTGACGAAGAATGGGATTTGTTTATTTCAATATAAGAATAACTGTCATTATTTCAACTATAGCCGATTCACATTTATTTTTAAACGATAGAGAAAATTTTATAAATAAAAATATCATCAAACAAGCTGAATTTTACAGCTTTGTTTGACGGATACACTTTTTTACAGGGTTTGTTAAGAGTGACTCTTTTTTCATAATAGATTGGTGTGTCAGATTCATAGGGGAGTATTTTTTACGAGAATAGTATCGATGATTTTTGCTCATTAGATCAGATAAAGGTTTACAGGGTACCGTTGTGAATAGAACATACCCTTTTTCTCTTCCTTTAAAGTAATGGAGAGTTGGTAAAATAGCACAATCAATCTCTTTAGTTAATAATTTAGATCCGTTGATATTGAAGAGGTGTTGGAAAATCTACCTAAAGATAGGGCTGTAGAAATGAAGGGAAGAGCTATCATGGATCTTAACTATTTATGTAAGTTTTAATACTTTTACCCCCCCCCCTTCCGCTTCACATTACCTGTACATTATAGCACTTGTGCTATAAAGTTTAATTGGTTCCCGGATTTTCTCCAAAAACGATATTTTCAAAATGATTATTTTCAATTGAAATGAAAATAAAATTGAAATCAACTTTATATTTTGACTTCTGCTTTGTTTCAAAGCTTAATTGATCTATGAGAAGTATTTCTAACTAAGTAGTTTCAGAAGTTCAGGATAAAAATTCTTTGACAATTAGAAAAAGTGTGAATAGCTGACTCGCATTTTGAAAAAAAACACACGACATTTGAAAAAAATAGTCTTTGAAAAATAATTAAATTTTGTATAGCCTATGGATTTCCTTAATTTATTTTTAGATAATTTGGTCCAGTCGTTTGGGTAGGCATAGCTAACATATACATATATATATATATTTAACCATGTTTATTAACTGAAGAGTGTCAATCCGAAACAATTTGAATAATTACATCTGAAAACTCAGAAGCTGCTCTGATTATTACTTTACAGTAATATATATATGAGCAAAGTGCTTAATTATATATAGATTAAAGAATTGAGTCTTTGCCACAAACTCAAATTTGTTACCTTAGATACTCAAACTTAGATTATTTGGGCAAAATTTTGTTATTTTGATGATTATTTAATAAAATTCATGATTATAAATAGTACAATTGTTAACAAAATTTAAAAGAAAACTCAAATTTTTCTAGACGATGTGTCTGTACTACTTTAATAATATCAAATCATAATGCTTCAAAAATAAAAAAAAATCTGAAAATCAGAAAAAGCGTAATTTAGGTCTTGAAATGCGTAATATAAGTCTTGAAATGCGTAATTTAGGTCTAGAAATGAGTAATTTAGGTCTTGAAATGAGTAAACAGGGAAAGTCTGCTGAAATGGATTCTATGCTAAAAGATTCTTCAAAACTTCATCTTATTCCATCAAAATACCAGAGATGCATTGGTAAACATTTTTATCTGAACATTCTTTTTAACTTATATTTTTTTGAATTAAGATTTTTACCAAAATTCTATAAATAATTAGAATCTTAATATCCATTTACTTCTTGTTCGTACATCTACCATCATGTTAGGCTAATTTTGAAAAAGAAACATTCTAAAATTTTTTAAGACAGAGCCTCTATAAACTATTGACGTAACTTTATGTGAACCTCCAATTAAAATGTGACATGCCTAATTCACAACGGTACAAATGAAACCATGGTTTAATCTGTATGTAACACTTTCCAATATTTCTTTATTTCTAATCATTAATTTTCATCCTTATTCATTAGAGATATTTCAGACTACAATCCAAAGCTGACGGCCAAACCGGTTTGGAGTGTGAAAGATCTGAAATCTAAAAACAGATGGTTGAGCAAACAGAGTTTGGTGACTCCAAACCTCCTTTCAAGGGAGCTGAGCCTAATCCAAGATAGTTGGAAGGATATCAAGGTGGAGATTGACCCCCTGCTGCTCAACCTGACCTCTGAGTCCTGGTGGACGGATAGCTCCATGCTGGTGAAGATAGGAAGGATGCATCAGTTTATCTTCTACAGCTGGGGGAAAAAGAAAAGAACCTCATGTTCTCTAACCCCGAGAATATGCAAGCTGTTGAAAAAGTTTGAAGGAGCTAGTAACTGTAAACAATGCAGTCAGAAGTTAATTGTTTTGGAGGAAAACACAGACCTGGCGACACACGTTGGACCTACAAACAACAGATTAAGGTATAAAAGTTAATTAAATCTGTCTTTAATAATAATCTTTTGGACATTTACGCCGAACTAAAGTAAACTTTCTGTCCGCAAGCTTTTTTTAAAGCCCAAAGAGGTCACAATTTTTTTTTCTTTTGTAGTTTTTCCAAATAAATTCTATTAGCAGCAAAAATCAGAAAAATAAAACATGTGTATTATGTTATTTTACAAAAAATAATACCGCACAAAAAAACGTACACGATTCACAACAACAGTACCTTTTAAAACTTTAAACCTTTAAAATAATGTGGAACATATGTCGTGTTTTTTAGAAGAAAGGAAACGCACAAAATTTAACTAGTTTAAAGATAAAAAACTTCAAAATATTCTTCATCGTTGCTTGATAAAGATTTAAAAGCTATATCGTTGTAAATCAAAAAGTTAAACTTTTGCTTGGAATATAAAAAGTCCCTGAAAATATTTATTAAAAAGATGAGGACAGACCAAAAACTGAGAAATTAAAAGAAATAGAAAACTGAAATAAGCCGAATATCAAGAATTTGAGCCGAAGCTTGAATTTAAGCCGCGGCTCAAATATTGTTGATTCCACTTAAAATTGTATTCAGTTTTTCAAGATTTAAGCCGGTTTTTGGGTGATTTAACCCTATCCCTGCTGGGGTACTTGAAAACNCCCTCCTTCTATTCAATTCTCCTTGATAAAAACATTCTATTTTCTTGTTTAGCCTTGTCATTTATGAAGACTTTTACGGAAACCTAAAATAAAACAATTTTAAGGTGAACTGGTTGCTTTTGATGATAGCTTCGAGCACTCTCTATTCAACCCTGGGGATAGTCGCCTAGTTCTACTCTCTGTAGAGTTCCTACACCCAGATCTTGCTGATAAGCAGAGAAACTTAAATCAGTTCACAGAACACTTGAAACATGTTTTTATGCTTTACTAGATATATAGATTGACCTCTTTTTATTCCTTGAAAATTCGTTTTTATGATTTCTGCCTGGGTGAGAACTTGTACCTCTGAATATATAAACTCTGGGATTAAGTCAACTTTGCCATTGCAGTAGAGTAGAGTTCTTGCAACCAGAGGAACAGTTCACAAAAAATTTAACACATATTTTTATGTAATACTACATGTTTACCATGAATGAAATATAATATTATACATTTTATATGAGCAGAAAACATGATACATCAGAATTGTCAAGATAAAAAAACATATATGCATAAGTTCATAGATAACCCTATGTGTCTTATTTACAAATATGTTTTCATTTTCATAATTGATAAATTGATAAAAATTATATTGTTTTTATTAATTTTTTTATTTAAAATATTCCATACAGATTCAAAATAAAAAATATAATTGTTAAACAAGTGTCAATTTTTTAAAATATTCCATACAGATTCAAAATAAAAAAAATATATTAGTGTTGAAACTAATTATTTTTTGAAAGTTTTCTATTTTTGTCGATATATATTTCAGAAATGAATTTTTATTTTATTTTCTGTGTTTTCCACCAATCTGTAACTATCATCCAAGGACAGAGGTATTTAATACTGTGTATTCTTAAATCCCTTCTATCTATAGTCTTTTTATATACTTTGTGTGTTAGTCTGTCTGTTTGTATCTAATTCACATCAAAACGACTGATTAAATTCCTGTATCCTCCCCCTTGTATCCTTCCATCCTTCAGAGCGCTTTTGTATTTAGGCACCTAATGCCTTTACCAAAGAATGAAGTCAATACCATTCAATACCATTTTCACTTGAGAAAGCTATGAAAAGTTACATTTTCCAGATTTTGTCGATTTTGAAGTGGCGCAACGTCTTGGCTTTTGATTTTACTGTACTAACTCATTTGTGTTTTTTTTGTATCCATAAACATTAACGTGTAGAACATGGAGAAAACTCTTGCTCTAAATTCTAGTTTTTTAGAAGTAATTGACAAAGTTCTCAAAGATGTCGTTGTGGCGATTTTTCGGCTAATCAAACTCACTTTGGTATCCTTATAATATTCCTTTTATTATGTGTAGATATTTATTTGGAAAAAATAGATATTTGCAGTTTAATCTTATTTTAATTAATGTCTTGTTGTTCTAGCTCTTCTCTTCTTGATTTCCAGTACGAGTCAGGATTTCTAGGGTAAAATTATCATTAAAAGTATTGCTAAAATTTGAAATGATTTAAATACAGTGGTCAGCATATATATATATATAAATTCAGTGTGGGTTACTGAAATGGTAATATTATGCAATATTCATCATTTATATTTGTCTAAAGCAAATTTACATTAAACAATATAAAAGTTTGCTCTTTCTCTGGATATCGCATTTTATGATTGACAGGGTTTGCCAAAAAAAAACAGGTGTAATACACAACTTTTAGCATAAGTATTGTTTAGATATTCAGAGATGGTTTTCAGAAATGGAGTTTCTTGGTCCCAGTCTAGCGTTTTACGTTTTCTAAAAATTGGTATGATGGCAGCACTGCAAGGCTTGATAGATTTTCGTGCATTGCTTCGAAACTAACACTGGGTTGGCAGAACTTATGCAGTTTCTTTAGATTTGCTTTATTTGACGGTGAGATATATCCTCTTGAGCCGATTTCAAAAGGGTGAACAGACACATCCCTTGTTGTTATATCTGTGATAAAATGTTCATACTTGTTCATCTTTTGAGATTTGTTTCCAATGTGACAAATTTTATAACCTGATAATTCATTGATACTTAAATTTTACAATCCCTTGGCGTGCTCTCTCGTTTAGCCATACAAAGTCTGTATTTGAAAAAGTAGGCCCGGTACTTAAAATAAACCGGAGTTTATAATCATATATACGCCGACCACTCTTTATTTAGAAGCATTTCAGTTTATTGTGCATTTTGTATTGATATATATGCTGACCACGGTATAATAAAGTTGAACAGTATCTTTATTATAAATACTTATAAAAACCAAGGAGAATTGAATAGATGGAGGGGGCGATAGGGTTTCCGTACACTTTGCTGTGACATATTTGGACTGCTGGAGAACTAGTTTTTGCGTAATAACAATAATAAAGATTGTAAACAATAACACAAATGATAAACAGACAT